ACCCTGTGTCGTAGTCTGGTCAAAAGTGGTCTTCAATGGCATTAAAACAATAAAAACGCTGCTGAAGTTAATCCATAGGTTAATCTAATGTGTCTGTGTCCCTTTGAAATGATTTCTGATAATCCATAAGCAATAAAACGGCTTTTCCGTTTCCAGATGTCAGAGCTATAGGTTCGCTCTGATGCAAAACTGCATGCGCGAAGCCCTCACCTTTTTTTTTTACGATGTGTGTGTGTGGGGGCCTCCCCCTTCGATTCTATTGGCTCTAACGGTCAGAAAGAGGTGTCAACCATCAAAATCGAGCAAGGGGGGCCAGAGATATGGAAAATCCACCCAAATGACCCCAGAAGTGGTTTCTTTTTGCTAAATCTCTCTAAAAAGGTCAAATGTCACTTGTTTTGCATCAATCTTGATACAGGGTACTTATTATATGTTGTACTTTGGATTCCTAAAGCTTTTAGTCTACTAACCCATCATCCAAGGGTGGCTTTCACTATAAGTACAAAATAATATTTGGACGGACACTATAATTTACAGTTTTTTACTATGTTCAATCTGAATTTTCTTTAAAATAAAAAACATCTATATTGATTCTGACTTTTCTACATCCCACTCACAGGTTTATCATTACTTTGAGAAAAAAGATGATTAATTTAACCCTTTCAGAAGGGAAGATATGGTCATTTGTTCTGGGAATGTCCTTTTCGAGCCTGAGACCTGAAAAACAGGCTCAGGGCTTAACAGGTTAACATCGACATGCTTCCACTGGCTTAGATAATGATTTCACATTTCACCATTTCACCAGGAGACTATGATCCAATTCAAGTATTGAGAAATTCGTTAAACAAATCAATGACTGGATGTCTCAGAACGTTTTTCAATTAAACAAAGAAAAGACTAAGGTAATCGTTGTAGTCATGGACTCTGATCCGAATTCAAACAGTCACATTGAGAAAATGTTTTGTCGGCATTGTAACTTTTATTCATGTCTGTTATACCTGTGTTATTCTATATTAGCTTGTTTTATGTTTGATTTATTCTCTTTGCTTTTGAATGACTGGTTTTAGATGCCATTTCATAATGTGATTCTGCTGGACTATTTCTTTATGCTCTTAATGTTTATCATTTTAGTAAAGCACTTTGAATTGCCTTGTGTTGAAGGTGCTATATATAAATAAACGTGCCTTGTCGATCAGTCACAAAGCTCTGTGAGGCTGTACTTCCATATCTCAGTGATCTGTGTTTGAGGACATGACGTGTCTTTGGCTCCATTTCCTCTCACATTTCCTCTCACATTTCCCCGTACATAATGTTTACAAGTGATTGCCCATTTAAGGTTAAAGATCAGAAATACACAAGAACTTTCTCTCAGCTTTTATTGGTTATGTGTTCCCTTTATTATACAGACATTTGATTATTGATGGATATATATCAAGGAATGACAACAAATTATATAATGCTGACAACCAATGAAGGATACAAATATTATAAATGCATAAAAGACTAATCACATTTTTCCAAACATGAAATAAACTATCAGTATAATAACACAAGAAAATATAAGTGAATTAAAAAATGTTCATGTAAAAGCAACGTTTAAAGCCGAAATGTTAAAAGATATATGTAATTCAAAACATGGTGCAGACTAAAGCAGTGATCCATATAACAGCATGTAAGAACAAGAATAGCAAGACATAGAAACAAATATATATACAATATAATATTTTTCAGTATTATTGGGTATTTATATCTTTAGGTATTTATATATTGAATTCCCTATCTTAAGTGTCACTGAAGGTACTTTATCAATTGTAAATTAGTTTATCAATAATTATTGTGAATAGAAAAATGTACACTGAGTTTTTGCCTTTGATGTTTTTGTAACCTCTCTCTCTCTGTCTTTATCTCTTGTGATCAGACTCAGATGTTGTGTTTGCATGAATGTCTAACATCCAGTGTTTACATCCTGTATGAAAGAGGACGAGGACAGAGTGAAGTGAAATGAACAGATGAAGTGTCCCGTGTTCTGGTCCTCAGGTTCACAGTGACTACAACAACACAGAGCATCAGCAGCAGAACACTGAGCGCTGAGCATCTCACTGCGTAGAAGGTGGAGTGAACCCCAAAGGGGTCTCTGTGCTGCAGGACGGTCTTGGTGGAAAACAAACACTGATATCGGTCAGCAACTGCACACCAATACTCTGCTGTGTCTCCCAGTGTAACATTAGGAATGACCAATCTCCCATCAGTGTCGCTGCACACATTGCTCATGATCTGATTATACTGACTAAAGGTTCTTCCTCCGGTTCGATCCGACTTAAAGAACCAAACGTGATCCCAACCCTTTTCCCAATCTTTGCATCTGACAGTGACTTCTTCTCCCTCTGAGAAGAGCTCTACAGCAGGGGGAGCACATTTGGGGCACACCACCAGTATGTATGATTTCACAGTAGTATTACAGGAGTACAGACCTGAGTGATTTAATGTTACTGATATTAACACCAGAGAGTAGTTTTGGTCCACTAAGCCCAAAGTGAAGTCAAGTTGTCCTTGGTCAAATCACTTCTCATCACTGAAACCAGTGACAGGGCACTGCAACACAACCGTTTCTTCCACTGAGCTATAGATACACTCTATGTTCAGCCATAACTGTGCAGGCTGACTGCTAACACACTGCTGTTGGTTCATCACCACACAGTTGAACAATCTGAAGTTAGTTGTTGAGATGTTGGATATACGTAGAGATGATGTGTTCTTCACCACTTGGTATCTTCCTCTATCATTGTCCATCACTGATGCCGTATTGTCCCCAAAAACTCTGTTCCATATTTCTTCTTCATATCGATAATCCTGTTCGAGCCGCTGGACATCCAGGTTATCAGGTGCTCCCAAACAAGGCAGGTCTATTGTTTCTTTAGCTATCCCATCTGCATTTCAGATTTCAGATATTGAACTACAAACAGTAACTGTGAAGTTTACCTCATGAGTCACTTTGCCCTCAGTCCAGCACTCCTCTTGGTACAGGCCGGAGTCTGAATGGGTCAGGTTCTGGATCATGTAGGAAGAAATATCGGCCATGCTGACGAGTCGTTGTTTCAGGTCTTCAGGTACTGAGGAGTTCTGGGGCCAGAGGTCAGAGGTGTTCCACAGGACCAGCTTCTCCTCACCAACACATCTGGAGATCAGGCAGGAGCCGGCCTCCTCTGGGAGCTCGAAGGTGAAAGAGTCGCTCTCCTTTTGGATGACGATGAGTTCTTCAGCGTGAATGTTGCTGATGAGAGCAAACAGCAGCACGGAGAGCTCTGAGACTGCAGCCATTCTGCTCGGAGGTTTCCTCGTGAGTGTTGTGCAAACACTGACACCGCTCACTTCATAAGATCTGTGCCAACCCTCAGAATCAGCGTCTCATTGGTGGTCGGACAGACGTAACTTGTTTATCTCATCATCAGTGGAAACGTTGAAGCGTTAGGGTTATCAAGATATTTTGTTTTGGACTTACGTCAAAGCCACGCTGTAGGTGTTTAAACTTTTGATCTGAACATTTGATATCTTGAGTCTGCTGCACAGAGATGGATCTAATGTCTAGAGTTGAGGTTGTCCAGATAGCAGTTTGGGCGACTGGGGCTGTGATGTAGAGTCGCTGTCTACCAATAGAAGGGTAGGGGGTTTGATCCCCAAGTTTCTCTCGATGGCATGGCCAATATGTGTTAGCTTCTCTGAGCAGTTGGCACCTTGTATGGCAGCTTCTGCTTTATGAATTGTGTGAATTGTGTGAGTCGTTAAATGCTGCGCCAAGAGGGTAAACACTGGAAAAGCATGATAGAAATGCAGTCCAATAACCAGTCTGTTGCACCATGACCTACAATCATTTTCTGTTTAGACTTTCTGACATAGCAACAGTGGAGCTTAAAGTGTCTTATCGTATACTGTACAGTGAGTGTGTGTAACCAATAGATATGAATCAGAGTCACCAGTGCTATGACTCTGTGAGGCTGTACTTCCATATCTCAGTGATCTGTGTTTGAGGACAGCCTCAGTGCTTTTGGCTCCATGTCCTCTCATATTTCCCCGAAAGACGGCCACCCAAAACTTCCCCGCATTTCAAATGTTATTCAGTTTTCTCCTCTTGTTTTAGTTGTTCCAAATTCTGACACAAAACTAAAGCTTTTCAAAACTGTTGTGAGGATAACAGCATGTCTGTCCTGATATTACTTTAGCTGTGACTATCTGCGAGATACCTGTAGTTTATAAAAACAGACAAAACCTTTCTTTTATTGAATACATTTTTTTTAATTTTTTGTTTTTTTTGTTTCATGTTCTTCATGAAAGTTGCACATTTGTGTTTTTATATTTGCATCGTTTCTGAAGCTGCTTGTTTTCTTCCGTTTGCGCCTATTGGCCACCGTACATACTCTTTAGCTCAATGAGATTCCCTGATTAAAAGTTATATGACAGTTACTGGTTGCACCTTAGACTTCCTTATGCAAGCCTAAAGTGAACTCCCTTCCTGTCAGTTTGATTCACTTTTTATTTTAATGACAGACACGATTACAAAAATAAATGTGGTTTGTAGTTTTTACGGAAAGTTAAATCCAAATCAGTAGACTGGACTTTCTGTCCTTTAATGTGACAACTCTTTAAAAGCCCCAGCTGACTTCATGTCTTTCCAGATGAATCAGTTATCTCCTGTCAAAAAAGGTCGTCTGTTTGAATGAATGCAGATGGCAGTCCAATGTAAGGGAGTAAGCGAGTGCAGGATGAACACGGATTTCAAATATATATATTTTTATTATGAGCTCCTGACAGAGAGCCTGTTACTCCGGTGAGGCGCTGAGTCATCATGTGGAAACACCTCAGGAAGACGTGCATGTGCGGGGAAAAAGACAAAGTTATGTAACATGTTTCCTCGTGCAACAACCTGCAGAGGGTGTGACTGCAGAGACACACATAACGGACTCACACACTGACACCTGAACACACTTTTCCGCACAGCAAACAGCAGAGAGTCCCAGGAGAAGACGGAGGATGCTGCAGGGGGGAGGACTGAGGGAGAGCAGGGTGGGGGGGAGTAACAGGGCGGGGGGGAGTAACAGGGCCGTGCTGGTGTCAGTGGCTCAGTTTGACCCCGGGGTGAGGCTCGGGAGGAGGCCTGGAGCCCAGAGAGACACCAAGAAACTCCACAAAACGCTCAGCAAACTGGGCTTCAGAGTGGAGATCCACAGCGACCTGAGCGGGGACCAGATCTACCAGCTGTTCCTGGAAGGTAACACACACACACACACACACACACACACACACACACACACACACACACAGACACACACAAAACACATACTGAATAACACACACACACACACACAGTTAGACTACTCAGGAAGGTAAAACGCTCACACACACATACTAAGTTTATAAAGACTCAGAAAGGTAACACACTCTGCCTAACACACACACACACACACACACACACACACACACACACACACACACACACACACACACACACACAAACTGGATGTTTCGAGACACATGTGTAATGTGTGTATAGTATAGAAAGATAGATATCGAAATATAAAGTGTGTGTGAGGGATTGTTCCACCATGAGCCTGCAGAACAGCTTCAGTGCTTTAACAACGCGTTGTGTAATAACTCATCAACATGTCATTCAATTTAACATCATAAAGTGACGCACACAGCTGGGAGACCAGGAGACACTAAAGAGCGACGCACACAGCTGGGAGACCAGGGGACACTAAAGAGTGACGCACACAGCTGGGAGACCAGGAGACACTAAAGAGCGACGCACACAGCTGGGAGACCAGGGGACACTAAAGAGTGACGCACACAGCTGGGAGACCAGGGGACACTAAAGAGCGACGCACACAGCTGGGAGACCAGGGGACACTAAAGAGCGACGCACACAGCTGGAGACCAGGGGACACTAAAGAGTGACGCACACAGTTGGGAGACCAGGGGACACTAAAGAGTGACGCACACAGCTGGGAGACCAGGGGACACTTAAAAGTGACGCACACAGCTGGGAGACCAGGGGACACTAAAGAGCGACGCACACAGCTGGGAGACCAGGGGACACTAAAGAGTGACGCACACAGCTGGGAGACCAGGAGACACTAAAGAGCGACGCACACAGCTGGGAGACCAGGGGACACTAAAGAGTGACGCACACAGCTGGGAGACCAGGGGACACTAAAGAGCGACGCACACAGCTGGGAGACCAGGGGACACTAAAGAGCGACGCACACAGCTGGGAGACCAGGGGACACTAAAGAGTGACGCACACAGTTGGGAGACCAGGGGACACTAAAGAGTGACGCACACAGCTGGGAGACCAGGGGACACTTAAAAGTGACGCACACAGCTGGGAGACCAGGGGACACTAAAGAGCGACGCACACAGCTGGGAGACCAGGGGACACTAAAGAGTGACGCACACAGTTGGGAGACCAGGGGACACTAAAGAGTGACGCACACAGCTGGGAGACCAGGGGACACTTAAAAGTGACGCACACAGTTGGGAGACCAGGGGACACTAAAGAGTGACTCACACAGCTGGAGACCAGGGGACACTAAAGAGTGACGCACACAGCCGGGAGACCAGGGGACACTAAAGAGTGACACACACAGTTTGGTGACGTTCAGGATTATAAAGCTGAACAGCTGTCTCTGTCTCAGAGTGAGTCTGTCTCATAACTGGAAGTGTTTGTCAGTATATCTGAAATGACTAGGTTAGCTACGTTAGCTAGCTAGCTTACAGCAGATCTGCAGTAACATCAGAAGGAGTCATGTGATCACATTGTTCAAATAAGACCATCAAATATTTAATGGTAAGTTTCCAACAAACAGAGACAGTTGTCCAGCTTTATAATCCTGAACCTCACCAAGCGCTCCGTCCCAGCTGTGTGCGTCACTCTTTAGTGTCCCCTGGTCTCCCAGCTGTGTGCGTCACTCTTTAGTGTCCCCTGGTCTCCCAGCTGTGAGCGTCACTCTTTAGTGTCCCCTGGTCTCCCAGCTGTGTGCGTCACTCTTTAGTGTCCCCTGGTCTCCCAGCTGTGTGCGTCACTCTTTAGTGTCCCCTGGTCTCCCAGCTGTGAGCGTCACTCTTTAGTGTCCCCTGGTCTCCCAGCTGTGAGCGTCACTCTTTAGTGTCCCCTGGTCTCCCAGCTGTGTGCGTCACCCTTTAGTGTCCCCTGGTCTCCCAGCTGTGTGCGTCACCCTTTAGTGTCCCCTGGTCTCCCAGCTGTGTGCGTCCCTCTTTAGTGTCCCCTGGTCTCCCAGCTGTGTGCGTCACCCTTTAGTGTCCCCTGGTCTCCCAGCTGTGTGCGTCACTCTTTAGTGTCCCCTGGTCTCCCAGCTGTGTGCGTCACTCTTTAGTGTCCCCTGGTCTCCCAGCTGTGTGCGTCACCCTTTAGTGTCCCCTGGTCTCCCAGCTGTGTGCGTCACTCTTTAGTGTCCCCTGGTCTCCCAGCTGTGTGCGTCACTCTTTAGTGTCCCCTGGTCTCCCAGCTGTATGCGTCACTCTTTAGTGTCCCCTGGTCTCCGTTGTGTTTTGAGCTTCTTGCAGGGTTTTGTATTTGCTGCGCATGTCTCCTCAAGTTGCTGAATGTTCTCTAAACGCTGCATGTGTTGACAAGTCGCTGAAGATGTTTCTTCATGTGGAACATTTGTGTTTTTATAATTGCATCGATTCTGAAGCTGCAGCGTGTTCCTCCTGATGGAAATGTTTGTTGTAGCACGTTTGCACCTGTAGGTATTTAATACCGCTAGAAATAGATCCTCAGGTTATATAATGGAAATGAAAGTAAAACCTGACATAGTTAATTATTACATAAAGTATTATGTAAAACTCTTGATCATCAAGTTTGACTCTTTAGTGACTCTTGGTCTTTGTCCTTGATGTGTTTGCTGAAACATCAGGACACACACCCAGATAATAAACAGACTGAGTTTATCAGCTGCTTATCGCTCAGAGACTGAACCGCACAGGGCAGGTCCATCATTAGCAGAAAATGTGTAGTGTGAATATGAAGTATAATATAAGTACCTTAATGAGTAAACACTCACGCTGTACACTTTAATGACAGTTAGTATACCTAATGTACTGCCCCGTAAACTGCAATATATGTATGCATTTAAATGATGTGTCTATGCAAGAAAATATATATTATATAACTGGTTTTAATCTGTAAATAATGTGATTTGATTTGTTTTAATTATTATTATTTATTTGTTGTTATTTTTTTTCCTCATAAAACATAATGGCATTTTTTTAATTGTATTTATAATAATTATAATAATTATTATATTATTATTATTATTTATTTTTTTAATATTATTATAATTTATTGTTTTTTATATTATGGCATGTTCTGTCGTGAGTTGAGGAAAAGTACTTGTCATCAAGATATGTATATGTTGCATCATCACTGACACAGTCATGTACATACTTGTGCAACACAAACACACACACACACACACACACACACACACACACACACACACACACACACACACACACACACACACACACACACACCCACACCTTACTGACAGAGAGCAAGCATACATCCTGTCCTATACAGTAATTACTGCATACTTTCTGCATTGTTTAACCGTGTGTGTGTGTGTGTGTGTGTGTGTGTGTGTGTGTGTGTGTGTGTGTGTGTGTGTGTGTGTGTGCAGAGAGCAGGCGCCCTGTTAAGGATTGTTTTCTCGCCGTCTTGTCGTCTCACGGTGACGAGGGCTGTGTGTTCGGGGCTGATGGGAAACCTGTCCTTCTGTCACGCATTTACAATTACTTCGACAACGAGTGCTTTGAGGAAAAGGCCAAAGTGTTCCTGATACAGGTCTCTACAGGACACACACACACACACACACACACACACACACACACACACACACACACACACACACACACACACACACACACACACACACAACATCTATATCTGTAGTAGATTAAACCGATTTCTCAGTTACTGTCAGCTACATCTCGCTGCTTCTGGAGATAAATCCAGTTCTTTAACCCTTGTCGTGTTCGGGTCAAATCTGACCGTGTTACTACTTCCATCAATCATAAATATTGTGTTTTATATTTTATTGCTTCAAGGCCTTCAGATATACTCCACAGTAGGCATTTAAACATATACAATTGCTGATAGCCACTTTCATTGAATTATGGTGTTCATGGTCGAAAATGACCCCCATGGAAATTCATGGGTAACTGTATAGATTATGTTCATCCATCACAGAGTACACACACATCGAGAAAAGGTTCATTTTGAATACATTTTAGTTTGTATTCTTTGTATATTCACTGCAGTTGTTCATGTAAACCAGTAGTCTTAGACATTGTTTACAGTATAAGCACATGATTTTCACAAGATACAGGGATGAAATTGTTTAATCATAATTGGGTGTTTACGGTTTATTTATGTATTTGGTTTGTTATTTTATCTTTTCTTGATTACCATTTTCCTCTTTCATGTATTTGTTTGTTTATTTATTTATTTGTTGTTTATTTATTTGTTGTTTTTATGATTTTGATTTGTTTGTTTTTCAATAACAAATGTATTTTTTTAAGCAAAAAATAAAAATGTTAATAATTTAGTTTTTGGGAGAAGGGGTGATTCGAATGTGTAATTAAGTAGATCATTTGTTTATATATCATTTGTAAGTCAGTAATATTTTTGTTTATCAGTTTGTACAGTATCATGATTCTCATGTTTCATTTCATTATTATTTTTTTGTATTATTGTTTTACACATTAGAAATAAATCAAATCAAATCAAAAATAATAAAGTGTGTGTGTGGGATGAACCCCCCCTGATGACTGTGTTTCCCTGCAGGCGTGTCGGGGGGGCGCTCTGGATGACGGCGTGGAGGTGGACTCAGTCACTGACAGCAGCGAGTGCAGCTTCACTCAACATCTCTCTGTTCCCATAGACACAGCTGTGATGTACGCCACGGCTCCAGGTAAACTGCACCTGTACTGTACCAACATTAGCCGCCTTTGGCTTAGCGGTGGTGACGTGAAGTCATGTGACCGTGCTGTAGTTCCTTTACAGCCCAACATTAGCCACCTTTAGCTTAGCGGTGGTGACGTGAAGTCATGTGACCGTGCTGTAGTTCCTTTATAGCCCAACATTAGCCGCCTTTAGCTTAGCGGTGGTGACGTGAAGTCATGTGACCGTGCTGTAGTTCCTTTATAGCCCAACATTAGCCGCCTTTAGCTTAGCGGTCGTGACGTGAAGTAATGTGACCATGCTGTAGTTCCTTTATAGCCCATTATTAGCCACTTTTGGCTTAGCGGTGGTGACGTGAAGTCATGTGACCGTGCTGTAGTTCCTTTGTAGCCCATTATTAGCCACCTTTAGCTTAGCGGTGGTGACGTGAAGTCATGTGACCGCGCTGTAGTTCCTTTATAGCCCAACATTAGCCACCTTTAGCTTAGCGGTGGTGACGTGAAGTCATGTGACCATGCTGTAGTTCCTTTATAGCCCAACATTAGCCACCTTTAGCTTAGCGGTGGTGACGTGAAGTAATGTGACCGTGCTGTAGTTCCTTTATAGCCCAACGTTAGCCGCCTTTAGTTTAGCGATGGTGACGTGAAGTCATGTGACCATGCTGTAGTTCCTTTATAGCCCATTATTAGCCACCTTTAGCTTAGCGGTGGTGACGTGAAGTCATGTGACCGTGCTGTAGTTCCTTTATAGCCCATTATTAGCCACCTTTAGCTTAGCGGTGGTAACGTGAAGTCATGTGACCGTGCTGTAGTTCCTTTATAGCCCAACATTAGCCACCTTTAGCTTAGCGGTGGTGACGTGAAGTCATGTGACCGTGCTGTAGTTCCTTTATAGCCCAACATTAGCCACCTTTAGCTTAGCGGTGGTGACGTGAAGTCACGTGACCAAGCTGTAGTTCCTTTATAGCCCAACATTAGCCACTTTTAGCTTAGCGGTCGTGACGTGAAGTCAAGACCGTGCTGTAGTTCAAGGTTCAAGGTTCAAGGTTCTTTATTGTCAATCTGACATAGCTACAGAGTAATTATGTAGTTGAAAATCTTATGTCACAGGCTTCTCCAACAATGCAACATAATAACATAATAACAAATCCTTCAGTGTTTCCTGGTCTGACGTCCTCCCTCCTCCTCTCCTCAGGTTACGGAGCCTTCATGCACCCTCTGGGCTCGGTCTTCCTGCAGACTTTCTGCCGCTTGTTGCAGGAGGAAGGGAACCGTGAGCTGGAGCTGACCCGCCTGATGACCCGTCTCTCTCACAGCGTGGCCTTCACCTTCCAGGCCAAAGGAGGCGCTCTGGCCGGGAAGAAGGAGATGCCGTGCTTCCTTACTCGACTGACCAGAGAAGTGTTCCCGTTCGCCTCCATGCAATAGAGTGGTGCAGGAACGAGTCCTAAAACCAGGAAGGGAGCTAGCATTTTACCACTTCCTGTTTCTTCGTCTCAGACAAGCCCCCAGGAAGTGCGCCGGACTCAGATGAAAATATTCGTGCTGGCCAAACGGCGGTACTACACTTCCTTTTGGTTGCCAGGCCCGGAAACACTTTTTCCCATTGACTTACATGGGGAAAGAGTGGTCTGTAAATCGTTGGATAATTTTTTTTAAACTAAATAAACTACCCAGTATGAACACTTGTATAGCCCTTATTAAAAACATTCGTTCCTCAAGTTGTAAAAATGTGCTAATAACGTTATTCTGTGAGTTATTTCCCTCTGCATTATGAACGCGCATCTAACCCACGGGACCGCGCCGCCCGGCACGTTCATGTTACGTGTTCAGCACTAGTAAATGCGTTTATCTTTACCCATGGATGCACAATAAGAACGGACCCATATCGCCTTACTGCCAGCCCACGGAGCTGTAATAATGGATATATTGCACATGTTTGCTGTAATTCATCATTTGTAAAATATTATACTACATGGGCTGTATGATTAAATCTTGTACCGTAAATGTTGTATTAAATAAAGTTAATATTACCGACGTAGATTAACGTCCCTGTAGCTTCTTATTGCACTAAGAAGCTTATTGCACTGTGTATATATATATACATATATATATATATATATATATACAGTGCAATAATTCTTTCATGCTAAATGAAGCTCTGTTGCTTGGATATCACTAGATCCTGTTACAGCGTAATATAAAAGTACATAACGATTGATGTGTAAATTAGCATAATTACTAGCTAACCGCTAGCTGCTAACTGCCGCCTCGTTAATATCAAATCTATCATAACAAACATTACCATGCTGTCATGAACGTGCGGTGCTGTTACGTGTACGCAAATGGACGTGCTTGATGTGAACGAGCATTTTGGGGGGCAAGGTTAAAGTTGCGCATGCGCTATGAGCGCACATACGGGTACTTCTCAGGCATGCCGGGTAATCTGTGACGTTTCGCTCTCTCAAAAGTTGGGCCATTTTATCATCATGCGCGAATGAGCAACTCTCATAGGAATGAATGAGGCCCCGCCTCCCACGCTGTATCCAGTTCAACCTGATCTCACCAGAATGCGTGACTCCACCGACTCCTTAACACTGCATTGCGTGGTGGAGTCACGAACTTTGTTACATTTACGTGTCTGCACCACGCAAACAACGCCAATGTAAAGTGAATGAGGCTCCTTTGTCGTGGTGCACACACGCATTTCTACAACGTCCAGCAGTGAGCTTTTATTCTATAAAACGTTTTTAAAATCTACTTTATAGCTTGTAGTAACTCACAGGAGGCTTCTTTTATTTTATTTGTATTCATAATAATTTTTATTTTTCGTCAGAATGTATTATGGTGCATTATTCACCAATGTTTGTTCTCAAAAAACAATGTATTGTAAGTAATACAACTGTGATTTTTATTAAATTAGTTCGTTTTTAAGGAATGCCAGAGCTTCAGCTGTGTCAAAGAGATTGTTCCCTTTAGTTAACGTTATTTAAAAGATAATTATATTCCTATTTGATTAAGTACCCTTTATTGTATTACGGACCCAAAGAGCTGAGCGTCCATTCCCATTGGATAACAGAGCATTTTACACCCGGAAGTAAGTATTCTCCTTACTGTCCATTGATTTTATTTACAGTGATATCTGCACTACTCATCAACTCAAAAACACCAGATTATCCTTGTTAATTACACAACATTGATTGGTTTAAATTGTGTACAATGCTTTTGTATTTTCCCCTTTCGATTCGGAGAAACAAATATGTTTTCGGAGTGTGTGGATGGTAGAAGACACTACACTACCCAGAATCCTCAGCTATTGTTCCGCTTTGCCTCAAGCTCTGTGATTGGTTGACCTCCAACTGCATTCCAATGAAAAAAACGTTTCGTCAAAGATCAAATCATACTTTATTCAGCAGTGCTTGCTTTACTCTTTGAAAGTCATCACATGAATGCATTGTAATGAATGGTTTGGCTGCATTAAACATTACACATCTGTCGTAGTTCTTTATTTATCTACAGAGATCGGGCCTCAGAATGGACCGGAAACTATTCTTTTACCGTTCTATTTTAATTTCACAATAAAGTTAGTAGTAATAATTTGTTTTGATATTATTGTTTTTTATTAACTACTAGACCGCTGGGTCATGTTAAGACCATCTTTTCTGTGTTGCTGTGGGTTTTTTACATCGCTTTTGTGTTACAAATATCAAAACAATAACAGAATATATCCGTCGTAAACTAAACCAGAAACAGCAGTATATTTTATTTTGTTAACACTGTAAACTTGACAGCTTTTTAACCCGCACCTCCTACTGGTTAAAGCACGTTATTACACGTTTAGAGTAATGCAATGCAGGTAGATTGGGTTGCTTTTTATTGACTGTTTTAAAATGCCTTTTTCTTAATGTCTTTCATTTTTGTAAAGCACTTTTGAATGTGTTATATTTGATGAAAACATTTAAATATTAAGAGTACATACTCTTAATATAGTGGGAAAGTGGAAGGTCAATGATATACATAATATAGAATAGAAAATATCAAGAAGATACTGTAAGTGATCTCTACAATAAAACAGTTTAGTGCCTGATAGGAGGATGTGCAAAACAGACAAACTAATAAGGCTTTATTTAAACATGAAAGAATACTTTAGGTTAAGGTCTTCTTTTAAATAAGAAAAAAGCTTTGGGGGTATCTACAGATATTAAGCCTGACAAAGTACTTAACGTCTAATATATTGCATGGTTTGTTTTGGAACTTGACAATCAACTTTCCTTCAATGTTAACTATGTTGAAGCACTTATTTTAACTGATATTATACATATTAATTATACTCTTATAAGATGTATGTAGATAGTATAAGAAATGTGCAGAATATGTTTAATGGTGGAGGTACACAGATATCGATAGATGTCTTGTGATGCACTGTTGATGAACCTGTGACCCAAGTGTTTCATTCATTGCATAACTACACCGTAGTTGTGTATATGATATGTCAATAAACCTTAAAAAATCTTGAAATCTTGAAAGGGATGTGCAAAATAGCCATTATATACAGTTTTTAATTAACTATTAGTAGAGAATAACGAGTAATGAATATGCTTTAGGGATCTGCAGATACATATTTAGTCTTCTCAAGCACCCACTACCAAATATCTCGCCTGATTGTTGGCTGAATTCACTGAATTTTACTGAATTCTGATTTAAGGGTTGTTTATATTTCACATCATTAATCCAAATCTGTAAAGTAACTAAAATAAATGTAGTGGAGTAAAAATACCAGGTTAACCTTAAAGAAAGCCCTCAGGATTATAAAAGACCCCCATCACCCCACAAACTGTTCTGTCTGCTGCCGTCTGGCAGGCGGTACCGCAGCATCCGGACTAAAACCACCAGACTCAGGGACAGTTTCATCCCACAGGCCATAAGACTATTAAACACCTGAACTTAGAAACAACATCCATAACATTCATCTGGCTGCTACTTAGAAATTATTTATCTAATATATCATATTCCAATCACTTGTATATAGACTCTTATTGCACTATTTCACTTTTTTACTATTTTTCTTTTTGTATTTACTTGCACTATTTGTTCTGTGTAGCCTATCTGTTTTATTGTGTTGCACTGTTGGAGGAGCCTGTGACCTAAGGGGGGGGTAGGACACGTTCTAAGCACATGGTGTAGTCCCATAGCTGAGGATTCTGGGTAGTGTAGTGCCTTCTGCCATCCACACACTACGAACAAATATTTGTTTCTCCGAATCGAAAGGGGAAAATACAAAAGCATTGTACACAATTTAAACCAATCAATGTTGTGTAATTAACAAGGATAATCTGGTGTTTTTGAGTTGATGAGTAGTGCAGATATCACTGTAAATAAAATCAATGGACAGTAAGGAGAATACTTACTTCCGGGTGTCAAATGCTCTGTTATCCAATGGGAATGGACGCTCAGCTCTTTGGGTCCGTAATACAATAAAGGGTACTTAATCAAATAGGAATATAATTATCTTTTAAATAACGTTAACTAAAGAGAACAATCTCTTTGACACAGCTGAAGCTCTGGCCTTCCTTAAAAACGAACTAATTTAATAAAAATCACAGTTGTATTACACACAATGCATTGTTTTTTGAGAACAAACATTGGTGAATAATGCACCATAATACATTCTGACGAAAAATAAAAATTATTATGAATACAAATAAAATAAAAGAAGCCTCCTGTGAGTTACTACAAGCTATAAAGTAGATTTTAAAAACGTTTTATAGAATAAAAGCTCACTGCTGGACGTTGTAGAAATGCGTGTGTGCACCACGACAAAGGAGCCTCATTCACTTTACATTGGGGTTGTTTGCGTGGTGCAGACACGTAAATGTAACAAAGTTCGTGACTCCACCACGCAATGCGGTGTTAAGGAGTCGTGGTGGAGTCACGCATTCTGGTGAGACCAGGTTGATCCAGTTCTTATTATACATCCATGGTCTCAGAGTCAATGGGATTTTTGAACTAGTTTTTGGAAAATAGCTGGAATAAGGTCTGTGGTTGAGACACATTGAAGAGACAGATCACGTTTTGTTCTACGACATTAAATACATCAGCAGTGACCCCGCTGGTGATTCTTAAAGAGTTGACGTGTCTGAAAAACGATGGTTGTTACCAAGTGGCTGAATAGGACTACAGAAGTTGTGGAGGACGTTGTACGTCATTACGCTGAACACGTAAACACTCCAAGTTTGTTTGCCCTGTTCTTCTTGAGAGCAAGTACCTGGCTATCTGGCCATTAGATATATGATTAGAACATTATAAAAGTAGGGTAGACATGTGGAGATTATCCTGAACAAAACGTGCATTTATCAAACAGCTTCGTTTCTCACAGATCTTATTTTTTACAATATTCCAAAATCCTATGGAGAAATCCCGTTGCTTTTTTGTCGAAGGAACCAGCAGCTTGGTTCCAGGTCGGCCTACAAACATAAGTCATCACTGCACCGCTCTATTGAAATAATTTCAAAGCAGAAATGTCAAGCATCATCTAGTTTGAGTTTCGAGCAAATTTGCTTTCACCTACGGCAACGTTACATAATTTTAAATATCATAACGTTTTCACCAATTGGTCAGAAGAACCAAGTTCATTTTAAATATGTTTACAGACAAATTGATGAAATTATATGGCAGATTAATCAGTAAAAAATATGTGGTTACAGCTCTGTTCAATCTTTACAAAGATAAGCTGTGGCTCAGTGGATAGAGTGCTGGACTTTGAATCAGGGGGTCGCAAGTTCGAGTCCCACTGCAGTCAGCATGTCGTTGTGTCCCTGAGACATCTCACCCCAAATTGCTCCTGTGGGGATTGTCCATAGTACTGAATGTATGTTAGTCGCTTTGGATAAAAGCGTCTAACAAATTACATGTAATAAGTTAGCTTTTCCCACGCCTCGACACGGACTCCTTCCATCAACTAGACTGGAGAAACCTGAATGCATGTGTGGAGTCAGTTCTCATTAGCTCATTAGGCTGTGATCGAATAGTCCAACAAATCAGCTCATTGTGTTTGTATTGATCCACATTAATCCACATTAGTATAATTGTATGAAGCTTTCAGAATAAACAGCCGATGGATATTTATTTCTACCTTCAGATGACGTGAGAAACCTGTTTGTATTTGTATTTATATTTTGAATTCCTGTAGAAAATCTAAAGATGTCATCAAGGAAACTGCTTGTCTGCTGAAATACTCTGCATATTGTACATACTCTGAAGTTCACGTGTGTGTGTGTGTGTGTGTGTGTGTGTGTGTGTGTGTGTGTGTGTGTGTGTGTGTGTGTGTGTGTGTGTGTGTGTGTGTTTACGTGTGTGTGTTTACGTGTGTTACCTCACAATAAAGAATGATTTTAATGTTTTAACTTCCATTTCATTTGTTGATTTATGTTGCTCATATCTTTTCAATATTATAAATGTCTTTATTTTATATATTTTTATTTTATTTTTAAATTATGTTCTCCTCGATATTTTTACAATTTGTATGTATTTATTCCTTTGTATTTCGATATTTATTTAATTGGTATTCTTATTCTTTAACATTGCATCCATGATTTTTAACAAACACGACACCAGCGCCCTCTAGTGACTTCACTTCCAAACTACATGTGCATTTGAGAGAGCTCTGAATGTACATACTAACTTACTAATAATAATACTGGGGTACTTTTACTCAAGTAACATTTTGAATTCAGGTCTTTTAATTGTAACAGAGTATTCCTACACGTTTCCTCAAGTACAAGATCTGAGTACTTCTACTTTTCCTCAAGTACAAGATCTGAGTACTTCTACTTTTACTCAAGTACAAGATCTGAGTACTTCTACTTTTACTAAAGTACAGGATCTGAGACGTACTTCTACTTTTACTAAAGCACAGGATCTGAGTACTTCTCCCACCTCTGCGGATCAGTGACGTCACAGAGGGGAGGAGCCAGGTGCGTGCCTTCACCTCGGAGCTCTTTCCGTGGATTAAAAACACAGGAAAGTGAACTTCTCTGCAGCTTCTTCAGGTCGGTGGGCTTTAAAATATAACAGAGCCTCGGTTTGGTTCTCCTCAGTTCTGGTTCTCCAGAGTCCTGGTTCTCCTGCAGTGAGCTCCTGACAGAGAGAACATGTCCAATGGGAAAGAGGCAAATGCTGCAGAAAAGTGAGTAGTGAAACTTTATATGTCCGCTCTCTGGATCAACTTTTACTGGTAAAAAAAACAACCTGTCAAGGAAATAGTGCAAAAATACTAATATCACTCCGCTGCTCCAGGAAACGCTAACTTCGTTCCCCTGTAGTTCATCACAAAAACATATGTTTGGTGCTGTTTCATCCCATTTTGTGTCTTCAATATTGCACAGCTTTTCGAAGAACACATAACAAACAAAAAATGTAAAACTCCCTCAAACTCCCAAAGCAAATTAACTGTAACTGTGTCTTATCATCCAATACTTTATGCGAAAACGTGGAATAGAAACTACTAATTGTTTACTATTTTTGTGATGGTGCTGAAACAACCATTTTCCTCAATGTGTGTGTTCAGAAACTTAATGGCTGGATGTACGACTACATTTACCTACAACTTTTACTTAATTATGGTCTCTTCTTAGAAACTCACAAAGACCACTTATTGCTTAATAATATTCTTATGTTTTGGTTCATTTATACAGCAATCTAAGTTAATAAAGATATTCTGTATGTTATAAAATCTCTTAAATTAATACAAAAATAAGAACTGCAGCTGAATTGTTTCGTATAATAGACATTAAAAAGCCCGTTGATGTATTTACTTCTTTATATGTATTTGAATGTCTTGTCTGTTTTGGATTTATGAAATGTCTGTCTTTTGCATGCACCTTGTCCAATAAATTTATTATGATATATGTGAAAGCAATGATGTTTTGTACATATACACCTGTATGTTCTGTGTGAATGATGCCTTGATGCTTTGAGGAGTCGTTAAGACTGGATAAAGCGTTATATAATTAGTCCCTTTGCCCCTTACCATGTATCTCACTGATGCCACTCAAATGAGTCTAATAGTATTGCACAGTGGTGGTAAAACGGGGATATTTCCACTTCTGTCGTGGTAAAGATGCTCCTATGGGATGAAGTATTTCTGTTGTGGACCCTGAAGGCAGCATCTCCCTGGTTCCCTCCACAAAATACCAACGAGATTTCTCCATGTGATTTTGGATTATAGCAGAAAATAATCTCTGTTGCGAACCAGTGTTTTTTATTCTTTAAGGCAAGGCAAGTTTATTTATATAGCACCTTTCAACACAAAGCAATTCAAAGTGCTTTATAAAAATGAAAGACATTAAGAGCATTAAGAAATAGTGCAGCAGAAAAATATAAAAAAAATTCAAATACAGGGTTTTAGGACTCATTCCTGCACCAGTCTTTAATGTGTTTAGTTGGTTGCTGTGAACCTCTTTCTGCATGCCATATGGATCCTGTGTGTTTATCAGTGTTCCCCCCCGACACACACACACACACACACACACACACACACACACACACACACACACACACACACACACACACACACACACCCCTTACTACACACACTCAGTGTATTTGCTGTGTGTGTTGCAGCTCCTCTCAGATGACTCTGAAAGAGAGTCTGGATGAATGCATGGAGGCTCTGGATCTCTTCCTGAACAACCACTTCAGCGAGAGCCTGGATAAACTGCGGCCGAGGTAACGCAATAATCGCCGAGTCATGTCTAGATCCACTTCCTGTCTGAGTGTGAGGCGGTGGTGGAAGAAGCACTAACACTAAGATATTACTTTATCATTTTATAATGCAGTACATATGCCTGTACTGGGACATGTCTCCATGCTTTAATGTTCGGACATCACACTGAAGTCACACCTTAATTCATATAATTAAAGAGTCCTCTCCTACTGATGTTCAGGTGTATATCAGTATTTAGTGTCTCTACTTTAAAGAGTCCTCTCCTACTGATGTTCAGGTGTATATCAGTATGTAGTGTCTCTACTTTAAAGAGTCCTCTCCTGCTGATGTTCAGGTGTATATCAGCATGTAGTGTCTCTACTTTAAAGAGTCCTCTCCTGCTGATGTTCAGGTCTATATCAGTATGTAGTGTCTCTACTTTAAATAGTCCTCTCCTGCTGATGTTCAGGTGTATATCAGTATGTAGTCTCTCTACTTTAAAGAGTCCTCTCCTACTGATGTTCAGGTGTATATCAGTATTTAGTGTCTCTACTTTTAAAGAGTCCTCTCCTACTGATGTTCAGGTGTATATCAGTATGTAGTCTCTCTACTTTAAAGAGTCCTCTCCTACTGATGTTCAGGTGTATATCAGTATGTAGTCTCTCTACTTTAAAGAGTCCTCTCCTACTGATGTTCAGGTGTATATCAGTATTTAGTGTCTCTACTTTTAAAGAGTCCTCTCCTACTGATGTTCAGGTGTATATCAGTATGTAGTGTCTCTACTTTAAAGAGTCCTCTCCTGCAGATGTTCAGGTGTATATCAGTATGTAGTGTCTCTACTTTAAAGAGTCCTCTGCTGCTGATGTTCAGGTGTATATCAGTATGTAGTGTCTCTACTTTAAAGAGTCCTCTCCTGCTGATGTTCAGGTGTATATCAGTATGTAGTGTCTCTACTTTAAAGAGTCCTCTCCTGCTGATGTTCAGGTGTATATCAGTATGTAGTGTCTCTACTTTAAAGAGTCCTCTTCTGCTGATGTTCAGGTGTATATCAGTATGTAGTGTCTCTACTTTAAAGAGTCCTCTCCTGCTGATGTTCAGGTGTATATCAGTATGTAGTATCTCTACTTTAAAGAGTCCTCTCCTGCTGATGTTCAGGTGTATATCAGTATGTAGTGTCTCTACTTTAAAGAGTCCTCTCCTACTGATGTTCAGGTGTATATCAGTATGTAGTGTCTCTACTTTAAAGAGTCCTCTCCTGCTGATGTTCAGGTCTATATCAGTATGTAGTGTCTCTACTTTAAATAGTCCTCTCCTGCTGATGTTCAGGTGTATATCGGTATGTAGTCTCTCTACTTTAAAGAGTCCTCTCCTACTGATGTTCAGGTGTATATCAGTATTTAGTGTCTCTACTTTAAAGAGTCCTCTCCTGCAGATGTTCAGGTGTATATCAGTATATAGTGTCTCTACTTTAAAGAGTCCTCTCCTGCTGATGTTCAGGTGTATATCAGTATGTAGTGTCTCTACTTTAAAGAGTCCTCTCCTGCTGATGTTCAGGTGTATATCAGCATGCAGCGTCTCTACTTTAAAGAGTCCTCTCCTGCTGATGTTCAGGTGTATATCAGTATGTAGTGTCTCTACTTTAAAGAGTCCTCTCCTGCTGATGTTCAGGTGTATATCAGTATGTAGTGTCTCTACTTTAAAGAGTCCTCTGCTGCTGATGTTCAGGTGTATATCAGTATGTAGTGTCTCTACTTTAAAGAGTCCTCTCCTGCTGATGTTCAGGTGTATATCAGTATGTAGTGTCTCTACTTTAAAGAGTCCTCTCCTGCTGATGTTCAGGTGTATATCAGTATGTAGTGTCTCTACTTTAAAGAATCCTCTCCTGCTGATGTTCAGGTGTATATCAGTATGTAGTGTCTCTACTTTAAAGAGTCCTCTCCTACTGATGTTCAGGTGTATATCAGTATGTAGTGTCTCTACTTTAAAGAGTCCTCTCCTGCTGATGTTCAGGTGTATATCAGTATGTAGTGTCTCTACTGTGACATGTCTCCATGCTTTAATGTTCAAAAAGCTCTTTATTTTTCTCATACTGCCTGTGCTGCAGCACCTCTTTTCACCCTCTGTCTGAAACCAGAGCCTTCTCTCTGTTGTGATTGGTCAACCTGCTTAGAGATGTCCCGCCCCTTAGCCTATCACGTACAATGTGTTGGAGCGCTAGCCAATAGAAGCTTGAATGTTTCATAGTGACGTCATTATGTTCCTGAAGTAAACAAAGGAGGCAAATGTTAATGGGTTTATATTTTGTATTGGCTAATAATCAGTATCTGTGGAAAGCTGTCTGATAAATGTAGTGGAGTAGAAGCACAACATGTAAATACACAAGTAAAGTATCTTCATATTCAAGTATCAAGTACTTGATTAAATGTACTTTATTACACTTCACCACAATGGTTCCAGGTTCACTGTATTCTCTATTTAAGCACATTTCAGGGTGGCGTGTCTTTTAAACATGATGTCAGCAGATTTCAGTCTATGTTAAATAGTTCCTGTAATGTGCGTTCAGTCGCAGTTGGTTTCCTGTCGGCCATGACTCGCGGCTGGCTTCACTTCTCCAGGATGTGAGGTGTTTGCTGAAGCTGACGCCCAGCGACTGACTGATTCAACAGCCTTGCAGAATAAACACTGAGCAAGAAAGACTGGGACTGCAGAGCAGATAGGAAGGATAAAGAGAGCGCTGTATTTACTCTTATCTTTACCCAGCAGGAAAATATGTGGGCCATACAGTAACTATGCTCTGCTACAGTGGTATAACTAAGTACATCTACTCAATAAATGTACTTAAGAGATACTTTAGCTTCAATGTTATGCTGCTTTATACTTCTACTCCACTAGTAAGATTTGAATGCATGCCTTTAACTTGTAACAGAGTATTTTTACAACTCTGCTATTTTAACTTAAGTGATGGTCTAAGTGCTTCTTCCCCCCTGCTCTGTTTGCTTACAGTGTAATGTGCATGACGTTGATCCTCCCCATGTTTCCTATGCAGAGTGAATGAGAGTATGTACCACGCTCTTATCTACGCCACAGTGCTGGAAATGCAAGCCATGATGACTTTCCAGCCAGAAGACATCAGCAACGCAGGAAATACCATGAAGAGTGCCCAGGAGGTCTGCCAGAGGTCAGGTTGTGTTGTGTTGACGTATTTCTGTAGGCTGACCCTGAAGTCCACCAACAACAATTACTCTGTTGTAAACAAACATTTATGATACTTACACGTTTAGTTCAGCAGGATAATCTCGACATGTTAACACCACTTTACGATTTATGAAGTAAAAAGATAATGTTGGGCTATAAAGGAATTACAGCAGGGTCACATGACTTCACGTCACCCCTGCTAAGCTAAAGGTGGCTAATGTTGGGCTATAAAGGAACTACAGTACGGTCACATGACTTCAAGTCACCACGCTAAGCTAAAGGCGGCTAATGTTGGGCTATAAAGGAACTAAAGCACGGTCACATGACTTCAAGTCACCACCGCTAAGCTAAAGGCGGCTAATGTTGGTCTATAAAGGAACCACAGCACGGTCACATGACTTCACGTCACCACCGCTAAGCTAAAGGTGGCTAATGTTGGTCTATAAAGGAACTACAGCACGGTCACATGACTTCACGTCACCACCGCTAAGCTAAAGGTGGCTAATGTTGGGCTATAAAGGAACCACAGTAGGGTCACATGACTTCACGTCACCACCGCTAAGCTAAAGGTGGCTAATGTTGGGCTATAAAGGAACTACAGTACGGTCACATGACTTCAAGTCACCACCGCTAAGCTAAAGGCGGCTAATGTTGGTCTATAAAGGAACCACAGCAGGGTCACATGACTTCACGTCACCACCGCTAAGCTAAAAGTGGCTAATGTTGGGCTATAAAGGAACTAAAGCACGGTCACATGACTTCACGTCACCACCGCTAAGCTAAAGGCGGCTAATGCTGGGCTATAAAGGAACTACAGCACGATCACATGACTTCACGTCACCACCACTAAGCTAAAGGCGGCTAATGCTGGGCTATAAACAGGGGTGCACATAACTGGTACGCATGCGCGGCAACAATCTGAAATGCGTACTGTCACTTGTGTCACAAAGCGCATTTGCATACCGACGTACTTGTGAAGCTTTTCCAGAAGGCGGTTAGATCACCGGACGACGTCACCACCGCTAAGCTAAAGGCGGCTAATGCTGGGCTATAAAGGAACTACAGCACGATCACATGACTTCACGTCACCACCACTAAGCTAAAGGCGGCTAATGCTGGGCTATAAACAGGGGTGCACATAACTGGTACGCAGGTACGCATGCGCGGCAACAATCTGAAATGCGTACTGTCACTTGTGTCACAAAGCGCATTTGCGTACCGACGTACTTGTGAAGCTTTTCCAGAAGGCGGTTAGATCACCGGACGACGTCACCACCGCTAAACTAAAGGCGGCTAATGCTGGGCTATAAAGGAACTACAGCACGGTCACATGACTTCACGTCACCACCGCTAAGCTAAAGGTGGCTAATCAGAATCAGAATCAAAATCAGAAACAGGTTTATTGCCAGGTAGGTTCACACATAGGCTACGAGGAATTTGACTTGATGTCATGGTGCAGGCATAAAAAAAAGGCATTTAAGGACACCGTAATAAAATGTAGTTAAATAGCAATAAAATAAAGCAGTAATTTACATGGAAATAGAATGCTATGATAATAATGTTGGGCATGATGACGTTTAGTCGTCTCATTTAGACACTTGTTAGCATCCTCCATTTTTAAATCCACCAGTAGGCCTATTAACTGACGTATTTTAAGTAGTAGAACAAAACGTTAAAATCTCTCGTGTTAGCACAGACCTTATTTCAGGATAACAACCAAAAACACATTCAAGAAAACATTGACTTACAGGCAGCATATCGGAAATACTAAAATGCTATAACTCATTTCTGGGTTTTAGGACTCATTGCTGCACCACTCTAGGTTTAAAACACTTTGCTTAGTGCTGCTTCTTCCCCAGACCGTGAGCCATAGCAGGGACATTTGCATGAGTGCATTTACATGGCCTGATCCGGACCACAGCACCTATTTGACTGTGTTTGCATGAGTGAAGCCAATGTTCCCTTCTCCTGTAGGGAGAAGGGACTCGTGTTATTAGTGCATGATTGCTGACAGCAAATATGTGGTTGGCAGAACTAAACAGAATTGATGTGTTGATTCTGTTTCAGGTTTCGACGGAAGTCTGCAGTTTTATCCAACAAGTCAGTAGGGGAATCACTCACTGAAGGTAAAAAGGCTTCAATGCCTCCCCCTTCTTTTTTTTTAAATGTTTTTGGGTTCAAAGTACATACATCCCCTCACAAAAGTCATCTTAGACCAAATTAATTGCTCTGTAATTGGTGGTTTAGTGTCACTGTGACCTCACGAAACACTTTTTTGGCCATAACTCAAGAATTCATGCACTAATTATGACATTTTGGACAGGCATGAATGTTGGGTGCAACTCGACTTTCTTGAACTGAATTTTGTTTTACAAACTAATAATCATTTACTGACCTTCAACATCCTCCTCTTAACTTAATAGCTATATGCTAGCACTAGCAAGCACAAAGCTTAATCAGGTATAATGTTTTTCCTAACAAGTGTGTCCTCGCCAGAAGTGATGATCGTCGCTGTTGGTTAGCTACCTAGCTAGCTAGCAACATTTTTATCAGCTGTAGGAAATTATTACAAACTGCTCAATGAACCAAATAAAATTAACTCTGGCTTCTTTTTCAACACCATTGTAGTTTTTTAAAATGAGTGAAAAATACACGTTCACTTTTATTTATATTGTTCTGAGTTTACCGGGGCTATCACGGCTAGTGTGCAGCTTCAGTGACGTAGCCAAGATGGCGGTCGTTGAGTGTGAGAAGTGTCCAACTTTTAGACCGCTATGAGAGCACCATCCAGTACTCAGAGTGCATTTAGCCATAGATGCACTTATGCACCCAAAATAGCACATGTGTGTACAGAAGCACCACAAACGAGACACAGCAGCATCTCCCTCCTTGGAGCCAAAGGCACCAGTCAGTTAAAAGGCAAAATAAATGCTAGATTCAGTCTGACAGATTGATCGTTTGGTACCGTCTGTGGCTGGATTTGATGCTGTATTGCTTGTTGACTATTATCACAGTACGTTAAACTATGATCACTGTACGTTAAACTACGATCACTGTTACTTAATGTGTGTGTGCATGTGTGTGTGTGTTTCTATGGATGTGTTTCTGCAGTGCAGCTTCATGCAGAAGCTTGTTACGCAGAGTGTCAACTCCAAAGAGCTGCCCTCACCTTCCTACAGGTGCTAATCTGATTTTTTTAAGCTGTTTATATCACACAACACAGTTTACACTTAACACTGTTTCATTTGGAAAGTGTCTAGTGAATTTATGGCATGAAACTTCCATTAATATTCGTTTTTGGGTTGTTTTTTTTCCAGGATGAGAACATGGTGAGTTTTATCAAAGGAGGGATGAAAGTGCGGAACAGTTACTTAATTTATAAGTAAGTAATCAGAGAACAAGAGGGTGTATATTGAGTGTGTGATTAAGTTATCTAACTGATTGATATCCACACTTGTTGCAGAGTACTTCTTGTATTGCTAGTAAAAGGGCACTTGATTATTTTTGCTTTCTTTAGTTTTAAAAATAAACGTGATAATGTCAAAGTTATCCGGCAGCCGGGAAGGTATGGAGTCATAGGGTGTTTCTCAATGTCGAGGAAGGCTGCTCCAGAGCCACTATTTCAAGGATGCTACTACGTCATCGAGTCCCGCCGAAGGACTGTTCCAATGTCCAGGATGCTTGGAATTCTACCGAGGCCGGCGTACTTCGTTGGGGGAAATTTTGAGGCTGCACATGTGTAGACTCCGCGGTCTTAAAATCCCCACAATGCGCACGGACCAATTTCCAAAATCTTTGGCGGAAAATCTAAGGCGGGGCCTATCATATGACGCACACCTGCACACTTGCTAGCCTGTTCCACTCTTCGTTTTCCGAATGCCAGGAAGGATTCTTGCCTAGCCTCTGATGGACCTGACTCGGAAGACATGTCCTACAGTACCAAGGAAGCGTCCTCGACATTGAGAAACACCCATAGAGTGCCATAAAAAAAATACATCTGTTAAAAAATATAAGAGATTTAATTAAGGAATAAATAAGAAAAATATGCATGTTTTTACAAATATATATATATATATATATACATTTAAAAAAATGATTATAAGCTATTGAAATTATTTTTGATAATTATTTGTTCATTTTTTGTATTTATTTACAGATTTTTTAAATAAATAAGTTTACATTTTATATATTTATTACTTTATTGTTTCTGTAGTTATTTATTAAATTTGAATAAGGTAATTATTTCATATTTTTTATTATTCTTTTACCCATTGCTTTTCCCTGTTGTGTTAAGAAACATTTCATATTGCTTTTATATTAATTATGTTATTAAGCTGAACTGTGTTTCAAATCATTTCGATTTTTGCCTTTTTTTTCCATCCAGAGAACTGCATACCTTCACTAAATCTCACAGCTGTAACAAAGGACCGAGCCACGTTCACTTAGAGGGGGGAATATCGTTTGGAATAGGAGCGTTTAATCTGGTACGTCACAGAAATATCTTCCAGCGCTTTTTTAATTGTGTAAAACTGTGTCATTGTACCTTTCAGTTCATCAGGTCTCCTTTATTCACAGACACTGTCTCTATTTCCTCCTCGGATACTCAAAGTGTTGGAGTTTGCAGGCTTCTCTGGCGACAAGGTGGGAAATATAATGACTTATATTAGGTTACACTTATTCACCAACATAATAAATGTTATTTAAATGTGTGTTTTCTGTTTGTAGGAGTACGGTCTGTCTCTTCTGCATGACGGTGCGACGGGGATGAATCTGCGCTCCATGCTGTGCGCTCTGCTAGTGCTCTGCTACTACACCTTCCTCACAGTCATACTAGGTAAAGCTGACCCTTTTTATATACAGTGGTGTAGGGATGACGTATTTCTGTAGTGGACCCTGAAGGCAGCATCTCCCTGGTTCCCTCCAAAATAAAACAATGGGATTTTACCATTGCATTTTGGATTATTGCAGAAAAATAATCTCTGTGTTTATGATACTTACACGTTTTGTTCAGCAGGATAAACTCCACATATTAACACCACTTTATGATTTTTGAAATTAAGAGCTAACATTAGGCTATAGGAACTACAGCACGGTCACATGACTTCACCTCACCACCGCTAAGCTAAAGGTGGCTAATGTTGGGCTATAAAGGAACTACAGCACGGTCACATGACTTCACGTCACCACCGCTAAGCTAAAGGAGGCTAATGTTGGGCTATAGAATAGAATGGGATAAAAAATAAAAATCTCTTCAGCTTGTGTTAACCACTGACCTTATTTCAGGCTAACAACCTAAAACACATTCAGAAAACTTCCAGAAGAGGAAACAGGAAGCGCTAAAATGCTGACTAAGTGCAGGGTTTAAGGACTCATTCCTGCACCACAATGGTTATATATCCATCAGAGATTCCTATAATGTGATTATGTGTGATTTATATCTGCTCCATCCTCTCAGGTACGGGGGAGGGAGATGTGACTGAAGCTGAAAAGCTGCTGAAACCTTTCCGGCTCCGTTATCCAAGGGTGAGTAAAAAAAAAGTATCATCTGTTTAAAGAAAACCTCCTAAAAAAGAGAAAGGAGTTACTCTTGTTTTGATGCTACCGTGCAGCAATGAATGCAAAGGCCTTTATTTGTCATATGCACAACAGCTACAGTGTAGTTTCCGGCAATAAAAGTTCCTTTTATAGCCTTTTTACTTTTTTAAGAGCTTAAGCTTTAAGTCAAAGCAATCAATGTTCCAAAATCAAATTGAAAAAAATCCCATTGGCTTTTTTCACGAGGGAGCCGTTACATTGCTAACTCCCGTAAAAAGAAAAAGGTTGTCCCTGCACCACTGCATTATAAATGTATTCAGGCTATTGTTCCATTTGTACACTATCATTAGTCTCACTATCCTTTTCTTTCTAACGTCATCCCCACCCTGATTACTTTCATCTGAAACTCACTCCACCTTCCACTAACGCCGTTCCTTCTGCACCCAGGATCACACACCTTCACGCTATCCACCTCCTGAATCTTATTCTTGGAAATTCCTGATCCCTGTTCCCACTCCACCTTTAACCTACATGCTGCCTATCCCAGAAAACAAACTCTGACAGTGTGTACCAAACCAGACCTGAGACGTTAAAGGTTAAACCCTGCCAAGAGTTATTGATATACATCAGACCTGCCCTTTAGATAGAAGATAATATAACATACAGTAGATTGACATGTAATACTTTCATTATTTCTTTACTTTCTCGAGGTACAGGGATGGGGAAGGTGTTTGTGTATGTGTATATGTGCATATATGTATATATGTGTGTGTATGTATGTGTGTATGTACATATGTGTGAGTATGTAGGTGTGTATATGTATATGTGCATATATGTGTATGTGTGTGTGTGTGTATGTACATATGTGTATATGTATATATGTCAATCAACAGGTAAAGCAGATTAATAATAATAACAAGAATAATTAATAATAATGATAATTACTGCAGATTATAGATTATAAATAAATCATTTAGGGACAAGGGGGTGATATTAAATAAGTTATACTTCTTCTCACTCCTTTTCGAACACTAGATGTGGGACTGTTTATGTTGCTGTTGTTGTTGTTGTAAATGTCATTATTTTGTTTTGATTTCTCCTACATGACTATGCACTGCAAAAAAAAATTGTTTTGTAATATATTTATTTTACTTAAATAAATAAAATTTATCAATCAATCAATCAATCAATCAATTCTTCTTTCCAGGGAGCGATATTCCTCTTCTTTGCAGGCAGGACTGAAGAGATCAAGGGGAACATTGATGAGGTTGGTTCATAAAATGTGTCAGTGATATGGCTTAGAAGAAGGACAACCAATATTATATATCCTGTACATTTAATAATCATTATGTCTCACAAAGTATTAATGATCCAGTCAGTCATCTAACCCGTAACACCACATTGTGATTTCCTAAATACAGTAAGCGTCCCTGATGGTAGTAGAAAATCAACACGTCCTTATACCTAAGTGTAACGGTCTCAGTTTTAAACATGTGGTAAAATGTGTGTCGCGGTTTGATAAGCAACAAAACTACTTGGGTCAGTTTAGAACGAGATAAATTACCTATGTCTGTGTCGTAGCATGAACAGCGACATGATCACTTAAAGCGGACATGATGAATTAACGTGAAGACAAAACGAGAAAAAGTATTGTTATTGGTGATATGATGACTTAATAGGAAGTTGTAACTTGACACGTGATATATTGATTTAACGCGAGACGTGAAGCTGTATCGTGAACTGTGAAATGATGACCTGCGTGAAGTCATAATATGAAGATGTAATGTGAATACGTAACGTGATGTGTGATATAATTACTTAACATGAAGACGTGACGGGAACTGTGTGAAACTATAATGTAACTATAATGTAACGTGAACTGTGACATGAAGACGTGACATGAAGACGTGACATGAAGACGTAACGTGAAGACGTATTGTAAACCGTGACATAACGTTGAAATGCTTAACTATCCTTAATTTACTTAAAATAAGTCAACGTTGACCCTTTTTTGTTTTACACGGGACACAAACTGCATTATATAACTGCACAATTGTCATTTATAAATAAGGCACTAAATGTATGCAAACAGAAATACAGTATGTATGACTAACTCAAACTGGACTGTAAGGTATATTACTTAAATAAACTATACTATAATAATTTCTGTTAACACTCATGCTGTCTTTAAGCCCCTGAGCTACAGAGGTCCAGCTCCTCCAACTCATCTTCCCCGTTACTTATCTCTTAATGCGCTGTCTTATCTTCCGGTGGTACCAGGCTATTGCGCTCTTTGAAGACGGCTGCAAGGCCCAGCAGGCGTGGAAGCAGTTCCACCACATGTGCTACTGGGAGCTGATGTGGTGCTACTCCTTCAAGCGAGACTGGAAGATGGCGTACTTCTACGCAGACCTGCTGAGCAAGGAGAGCCGCTGGTCCAAGGTAAAGAACGGGAGACAAGAGGGAGTTTAGTGAAATGTTCTATCGATTCAAACCTCTCCAATAATCTTGAGAAATAAGAATTAAACCAGTGTTTCTCTCCATAGGCCATGTACGTTTACATGAAAGCTGCTTACCTCAGCATGCTGCCTATAGAAGAGTCCAGACCGTTCGGGGACAACGAGGTCGACCTCTTTAGGTAAAAACACGCACAATAGCACATCAATCGTTCCATGGCAAAACCACCTGACTCGGGGACAGTTTTATTCCACAGGCAATAAGACAATTAAACACCTGCACGTTTTAAAGAACATCCATAAACATTCATCTGTTTGCATTTTGCTAATTATTTATCTAACATATCATTCCATGTACTTGTATATAGACTCTTATTGCACTATTTCTATTCTATTTGTATTTACTTGCACATCTTAAAACATTCTCTTGCACTGTTTTATCAGTTGTATTTGTTCTATGTCCTATATATGTTCATGTTGCTCTGTTGGAGGAGCCTGGGACTTCAGTTTTTCATTGCCATATCTACACTGTAGCTGCTGTACACATGACAATAAAGCCTTGAAACTTGAAAGATGATTTATCTCAGAAACAAACAGATATTGTCCCGAGGCCTATGTTATAGATGCATTTTACAATGTATGCATAGTCAAGCTATGAGTGGCGTTGTTTACATACCTCTGTGTGTGCTTTGTGAGAAGCTGTAGGGTTATGACCCGTGCTTGATCTTTATGACTCAGAATTGAACTGGTCTCTCACCGTTCTCATTAACCTTTTTTGTCGCCACAGACAAAGTTAATGACTAGCTAGCTGGTCAACATAATGGAGCATTCATATTTTCCCTTGGGAGTTGGTAAGGGCCAAAAAACGGAATATTAGATTTAAATTCATGAGTTGGATAGAAGCACAACTCCAAACGAATCTTAGCATTGCTCTTCATGTGTGTATATAGATATGCAAAGCTAACATGTTTGGTGTAAGATGATAATATGTCATTCTGGTGTTTAGAGCTAGTAACACTGCCCCCTTGTGGCCAGAAATAATCAAATGCAGGTTCAAATGTAGAGGTTTTAGGCACTGTCTGACTTAAAGTGGACCTATCATGCTATATTTGAATAATATAGTGTAGGACCATACCTATATAAGGCATATTTATACTTTTTTTTTTTCAAAATACCAAACAGATCATGCATTTTAGCCATGCCTCATTTCGCTCAATTTGACATTTTTTAGATCTGTTTTAGCAAGGGCAGATTCTGTGAGAACAGCACCACCTACAGGCCTGGCATATGTACTACAGCGTCTCCAGCGCTTTCGAACAGCAATGGCCGTGGCTGTCTCCTCCTGATTGGTGGAGTTGGCCCAATAGCCGTAGCGCCACCGTCCTGACGTCAGGACAGTGTTCAAATCTGGATCAGTTTTCATCAGATCCGTTGCAGCCCCTTTTTTAGAGATTTGGGTATGGAGGAAAATAGAGAGGGTTGTGTTTTCTGACACTTGGTGAGTTCCCTGAAACACCGGGGACACATATTCATGTATAAAAGACGTACAAAAGTGCATTTTGCATGATAGGTCCCCTTTAAACAATTAAAAACAAGTGGACGTCGTCACCATCATGTCACTCATTGGTTAACAGGACATATTTTTTAAGCCTGAAGTTGTTTTCGGCAGCCATAGAAAATGCTAAGTGACCAGCTAACACTAGCTAGCGTAGATAGAAAGGTACATCAAGTCAACTGTCATAATAATTTGGATGGTATTTTTGCGAACTGTTAATTAACGAAAAATATGTTGTGGCAACTCCTAAGAATGGCTTTAGCACCAGAGGATACTGAAGTAATAAGTCATGTGAAAATTAGGGTTATTTTTGCTCATAGACTACTATACAAAGATATACAACTTGTCAATCACAAGGTAGCCCCGCCCTAAAGTATACCCTTCTTTACCATCTGTTTAATTCAAATGGGACCATAAATAACTAAATGGCCATCATTCTGTATTAAAGAAAAGACTTGTAACTGGCGTTTGAAAGCATAAACTCATTATGGAAATGTTTACTGAGGTTATACATACAGTGAGAAGTATGGGTCATTTCCTCTCAGACTTCTATACAAGTGGAGTCGCCCCCTGCTGGCCTTTAAAACAATGCAGATTTGAGACACTTCACCATCGGCTTCACTTTTCAGACCCGGAGGTTTTTACTTCTTCTTCTTATGCCTTTTTACCGAATTTGCCTTTTTCATTGTGCCGTTCCTTTTAGACAAGTGCCCACCTTAAAGCAGAAGATAGCCGGAAAATCTCCCCCGACTGAGAAGTTTGCGATCCGTAAAGCCCGACGCTACAAGGCTCGCTGCCCAATCCGGCTGCCAGTGCCAGTGCTGGTAAAGCTACACACACACACACTCACACACTCACTCACTCACTCACTCACTCACTCACTCACTCACTCACACACACACACACACACACACACACACACACACACACACACACACACTCACGGAACATCTTCATCTGTAGTAGATGAAACCGATTTCTCAGTTACTGTCTATCAGCAGCTACATCTCGCTGCTTCTGGAGATGAATCCAGTTCTTTAACCCTTGTCGTGTTCGGGTCAAATCTGACCGTGTTACTACTTCCATCGATCATAAATATTGTGTTTTATATTTGATTGGCTTTATGATATCCTCCACAGTAGGCATTTGAACATGTCAAATTGCTGATCGCCACTTTTATTGGATTTTGAGTGGTTTAGTCAACTTTGTAACACCTATGATGTTCCTGGTCCACACATACACACGCACACGCACACATACACACACACACAATGGGCAATGGGTTTGAATCCCAGAGCGCTAAAAGGTCAACACTCTTGAAACCCGTTTTCTTTGTGCTGTTTCTGTTTCTGATTTTGTGTAAAGCGTCTTTGAGCACTTGGAAAAGCGCTATAAAAATTAAATGTATTATTATTATAGGAGATGATGTACATGTGGAACGGGTTCAGTATGATCATCAAACGTCCGGAGCTGACTGAAGGCATGATGCAGACTTTGGTTGAGGCAGAGCGATGTCTTCTGGAGTCTCCCGGTAATAAAGCTCATCCCAAAACGATGTGACAGAAGAAATCCTTATCGCTCAATGGAAATGGAAACTTAGATTACTTCTATGTGAAGACGTGTGCTCTCTCCTCCACAGAGAAAGAGCATCTGGTGGATGACCGCTGTGTGATCTACCTGCTGAAGGGTCTGTGTTTGAAGAACCAGGGTCTCCTGCAGGCTGCTGAGGAGTGCTTCAACAAAGTGTTTGCAAGGTGAGGTCCAATGGGTGTTGAAAACTCCATGGTTCCCTCCACAAAAAAAACATGGGATTCCTCCATGTGATTTTGGATAATGTCAGAAAATCATCTCTGTGTCAAACAAACGTTTGTGATATTTACACGTTTAGTTCAGCAGGATAATCTCCGCATATTAACACCATTTTATGATTTCTGAAGTAAAAAGCTAACGTTAGGCTATAAAGGAACTACAGCACGGTCACATGACTTCACGTCACCACCGCTAAGCTAAAGGAGGCTAATGTTGGGCTATAAAGGAACTACAGCACGGTCACATGACTTCACGTCACCACCGCTAAGCTAAAGGAGGCTAATGTTGGGCTATAAAGGAACTACAGCACGGTCACATGACTTCACGTCACCACCGCTAAGCTAAAGGTGGCTAGTGTTGGGCTATAAAGGAACTACAGCACGGTCACATGACTTCACGTCACCACCGCTAAGCTAAAGGCGGCTAATGTTGGGCTATAAAGGAACTACAGCACGGTCACATGACTTCACGTCACCACCGCTAAGCTAAAGGTGGCTAATGTTGGGCGTGATGACGTTTAGTCGTCTCATTAGGCACTTGTTAGCAACCGCTGTTAATAAATCCACCAGTGGGGTATTCACTGACGTATTTTATGTGGTAGAACAAAACGTTTGAGCCTGAAAACAGTGTAGATTTTCCGCCTCATAACAATTAACCATCTTAAAATATTGTTTCTGGTTGTTCCTCTTCCCCAGGACTCCTTCATGTTGCATGTTTCCAGGGGTTCCTTTTGTTGATGCCGGCCTGTTATTCGGACAAGTTGCAAAAACTCAGTTTGACATTGTGGCACACGAGTTTCTGTAATTCAAAACGGCCAGAAAAACCTGCTGGCATCAACAACAGGAAATGAAAACCCTTCGAGACGTACAATTTTGATGAAACTGAAACTTTTCTACCTGTTCACAACTAGAACCGGTTCTCCCTTTCAATCCCTACCCCGAAGCTTTAACAGTGTTGTCTTACCTTTAGTCAAATGTTGCCTGAAGCTCTTATTCTTGTCTTTAAGAAAATCCCCATGAGCAGCTCCTACCTGGATGTATTGACAGGGTAATGTTTGCTTAGCAACTCACCCACCAAGTCCTACAGTCAATATTTACCCAGCCGTTCAGAATGACACGGCTTCTTGTTGCAATCACACTGACTGTAATGAGTAAGGAGGCTTTTAACCAGGTCTTGTAAGGAAAGAAAAGTGTAATCATTTATTTCATTAAGCTACCTGCAGTGTGTAAAGTGTAACGGTTTGTTTACTTTACTTTCTCAGTGAAAAGAAGATCAAGTTCGACCACTACCTGGTGCCCAACTCTCTGGTGGAGCTCAGCCTGCTCTACATCGCCCAGGGAAGAAGAGACGAGGCTATCAAACTCCTGCACAAAGCCAAGTAAGTCTGAATACAGCAGTGCAGGGATGAAGTATTTCTGTAGTGGACCCTGAAGGCAGCATCTCCCTGGTTCCCTTACATATTTACACCTTTAGTTCAGCAGAACCACATGTTAACACCACTTCATGATTTCTGAAGTAAAAAGTTAATGTTGGGCTATAAAGGAACTACAGCACGGTCACATGACTTCAAGTCACCACCGCTAAGCTAAAGGAGGCTAATGTTGGGCTATAAAGGAACTACAGCACGGTCACATGACTTCACGTCACCACCGCTAAGCTAAAGGAGGCTAATGTTGGGCTATAAAGGAACTACAGCACGGTCACATGACTTCACGTCACCACCGCTAAGCTAAAGGTGGCTAATGTTGGGCTATAAAGGAACTACAGCACGGTCACATGACTTCACGTCACCACCGCTAAGCTAAAGGTGGCTAATGTTGGGCTATAAAGGAACTACAGCACGGTCACATGACTTCACGTCACCACCGCTAAGCTAAAGGAGGCTAATGTTGGGCTATAAAGGAACTACAGCACGGTCACATGACTTCACGTCACCACCGCTAAGCTAAAGGTGGCTAATGTTTGGGCTATAAAGGAACTACAGCACGGTCACATGACTTCACGTCACCACCGCTAAGCTAAAGGTGGCTAATGTTGGGCGTGATGACGTTTAGTCGTCTCATTTAGACACTTGTAAGCACCGTTTTGGTGTGTGTGTGTGTGTGGTGTGTGTGTGTGTGTGTGTGTGTGTGTGTGTGTGTGTGTGTGTGTGTGTGTGTGTGTGTGTGTGTGTGTGTGTGTGTGTGTGTGTGTGTGTGTGTGTGTGTGTGTTGTGTGGTGTGTGTGTGTGTGTGTGGTGTGTGCTGGTGTGTGTGTGTGTTGTGTGTGTGTGTGTGTGTGGTGTGTGTGTGTGTGTGTGTGGTGTGTGTGTGTGTGTGTGTGTGTGTGTGTGTGTGTGTGTGTGTGTGTGTGTGTGTGTGTGTGTGTGTGTGTGTGTGTGTGTGTGTGTGTGGTGGTGTGTGTGTGTGTGTGTGTGTGTGTGTGTGATAAATAAATAAATAAATAAATAAATAAATAAATAAATAAATAAATAAATAAATAAATAAATAAATAAATAAATAAATAAATAAATGTGGGTTTTCTTCTCTTTCAGACAAAACTACAAAGATTACTCAATGGAGTCTCGTACTCAGTTCAGGATTCACGCTGCTCTGGCCAAACTGAAGGCTGACCCTGGGGAGGAGGAGGACACACACATGTAGGAGGAGAGGACACACACAAGTAGGAGGAGAGGACACACACATGTAGGACACACACATGTAGGAGGACACACATGTAGGAGGAAACACACACATGTAGGAGGAGAGGACACACACATGTAGGAGGACACACACATGTAGGAGAACGCTTCTTCATCACCTCCTCTTCATCATCTTCATGGTTTTAACTTGGTACCCAGCTTTTAACCCGAATCCGTTTGTATCCCTGTGTTCGGATTTACACACTACACTAACACAAGTAAAGACAACAAGGAAATGTAAATACAGGAGACATTTTATTTTGTGTGTTATGGTTAATATTGAAAACATTTAAGAACACTCTGATTCAAAGTCCTTATGAATATAAATTATGAGAAATTGTTTGTATGTCTTAATGACTTGTATAGTAATGATGTAATGTTCCTGTATGAAGAGCGGTACTTAATAACAACATGATTGAGTTAATTAAGCATAATGTGTTTTTGGAAAGACGATGTTCATGGTACTTCAACTGCAATTTGATACAAGATTTATTTAAACCAAATCATCCCAACTGTTACCTGGCTTTGAGAAATGCATACCAGTGTTTAGGGAGATCTGTAACCGTCTATGCTCATTCCAAAACTTCAATGTATACAAATTATTTTTGCATAAATAAATTCCACTCGCAAATCTCTGTTTCGTGTTCAGTTATAGCGACATTATCAGAATACTGTAGGTTGTCAAAACTAAATATTTATCTTGTTTTAAAAGACAACATGCAGTCCAAAGAGATTACATTATTTCAGTGAAATGCACAGAGATGTATTCAATATAAATGTGTTCCTCCACTACATGTATTTAATACCTTTAGTTATTTCACAGATGTGGATGAATGATGTGAAATATAATCAAGTGTTAAATCAGACTTTAGTTCCACCTGGAGTAAATTCACAAGCTACCCTGCAGTATACAAAGTCATTCAAACTAGCTGCACCTTTACCAGCTTTGAGAACACTTTCATGATCAATCATTATAAAACATATCATATATATTATTCTGAAATGGACCAATCTGCACAATGACTACTTTTACTGTCGCTACTTTCACTATATTTTGATGAGAATGCTTTTATACTTTTACTTGAGGAACATTTTGAATGCAGGACTTTTACTGAAACAGAGTATTCCTACACTCTGGTATTTCTACTTTTACTGAAGTACAAGATCTGAGTACTTCTACTTTTACTCAAGTACAAGATCTGAGTACTAATACCACCTCTGAATAATACAAGCATTTTGTTAATTGTCGAATGTTGATATCAATCTTGATTTAATAATAAATTGGTTGGTGATTGGCTAATGGTTACACAAGACAAAACCATCGTTATGACATAAAGTGACCAAAATCTGATCAGCTCATTTTCAGACAGGTTTTTATAGAAATGGATCAGGACAAAAAGAGAGAGAATCTTTGTTCCTGAAACTTTCAGAGTCTCTTTCCACAGAGGGGACACATGTTGATGTAGAAGAGACATGAAGAAGAGGGGACACATGTTGATGTAGAAGAGACATGAAGAAGAGGGGACACATGTTGATGAAGAAGAGACATGAAGAAGAGGGGACACATGTTGATGTAGAAGAGACATGAAGAAGAGGGGACACATGTTGATGTAGAAGAGACATGAAGAAGAGGGGACACATGTTGATGAAGAAGAGACATGAAGAAGAGGGGACACATGTTGATGTAGAAGAGACATGAAGAAGAGGGGACACATGGTGATGTAGAAGAGACATGAAGAAGAGGGGACACATGTTGATGTAGAAGAGACATGAAGAGGGGACACATGTTGATGTAGAAGAGACATGAAGAAGAGGGGACACATGTTGATGTAGAAGAGACATGAAGAAGAGGGGACACATGGTGATGTAGAAGAGACATGAAGAAGAGGGGACACATGTTGATGTAGAAGAGACATGAAGAAGAGGGGACACATGTTGATGTAGAAGAGACATGAAGAAGAGGGGACACATGTTGATGTAGAAGAGACATGAAGAGGGGACACATGTTGATGTAGAAGAGACATGAAGAAGAGGGGACACATGTTGATGTAGAAGAGACATGAAGAGGGGACACATGTTGATGTAGAAGAGACATGAAGAAGAGGGGACACATGTTGATGTAGAAGAGACATGAAGAAGAGGGGACACATGTTGATGTAGAAGAGACATGAAGAGGGGACACATGTTGATGTAGAAGAGACATGAAGAAGAGGGGACACATGTTGATGTAGAAGAGACATGAAGAAGAGGGACACATGATGTAGAAGAGACATGAAGAAGAGGGGACACATGTTGATGTAGAAGAGACATGAAGAAGAGGGGACACATGATGTAGAAGAGACATGAAGAAGAGGGGACACATGTTGATGAAGAGACATGAAGAAGAGGGGACACATGTTGATGTAGAAGAGACATGAAGAAGAGGGGACACATGTTGATGAAGAAGAGACATGAAGAAGAGGGGACACATGTTGATGAAGAAGAGACATGAAGAAGAGGGGACACATGTTGATGTAGAAGAGACATGAAGAAGAGGGGACACATGTTGATGAAGAAGAGACATGAAGAAGAGGGGACACGTGTTGATGAAGAAGAGACATGAAGAAGAGGGGACACGTGTTGATGAAGAAGAAACATGAAGAAGAGGGGACACATGAAGAAGAGGGGACACATGTTGATGTAGAAGAGACATGAAGAAGAGGGGACACATGAAGAAGAGGGGACACATGTTGATGTAGAAGAGACATGAAGAAGAGGGGACACATGTTGATGAAGAGACATGAAGAAGAGGGGACACATGTTGATGTCGAAGAGACATGAAGAAGAGGGGACACATGTTGATGTCGAAGAGACATGAAGAAGAGGGGACACATGTTGATGAAGAAGAGACATGAAGAAGAGGGGACACATGTTGATGTAGAAGAGACATGAAGAAGAGGGGACACATGTTGATGTAGAAGAGACATGAAGAAGAGGGGACACATGTTGATGTAGAAGAGACATGAAGAAGAGTGGACACGTGTTGATGAAGAGACATGAAGAAGAGGGGACACATGAAGAAGAGGGGACACATGTTGATGTAGAAGAGACATGAAGAAGAGGGGACACATGTTGATGTAGAAGAGACATGAAGAAGAGGGGACACATGTTGATGTAGAAGAGACATGAAGAAGAGGGGACACATGTTGATGTAGAAGAGACATGAAGAAGAGGGGACACATATTGATGAAGAAGAGACATGAAGAAGAGGGGACACATGTTGATGAAGAGACATGAAGAAGAGGGGACACATGTTGATGTAGAAGAGACATGAAGAAGAGGGGACACATGTTGATGTAGAAGAGACATGAAGAAGAGGGGACACATGTTGATGTAGAAGAGACATGAAGAAGAGGGGACACGTGTTGATGAAGAGACATGAAGAAGAGGGGACACATGAAGAAGAGGGGACACATGTTGATGTAGAAGAGACATGAAGAAGAGGGGACACATGTTGATGTAGAAGAGACATGAAGAAGAGGGGACACATGTTGATGAAGAGACATGAAGAAGAGGGGACACATGTTGATGTCGAAGAGACATGAAGAAGAGAGGACACATGATGTAGAAGAGACATGAAGAAGAGGGGACACATGTTGATGTAGAAGAGACATGAAGAAGAGGGGACACATGTTGATGAAGAGACATGAAGAAGAGGGGACACATGTTGATGTAGAATAGACATGAAGAAGAGGGGACACGTGTTGATGTAGAAGAGACATGAATAAGAGGGGACACATGTTGATGTAGAATAGACATGAAGAAGAGGGGACACATGATGTAGAAGAGACATGAAGAAGAGGGGACACATGTTGATGTAGAATAGACATGAAGAAGAGGGGACACGTGTTGATGTAGAAGAGACATGAATAAGAGGGGACACATGTTGATGTAGAATAGACATGAAGAAGAGGGGACACATGATGTAGAAGAGACATGAAGAAGAGGGGACACATGTTGATGTAGAAGAGACATGAAGAAGAGGGGACACATGTTGATGTAGAAGAGACATGAAGAAGAGGGGACACATGTTGATGTAGAAGAGACATGGAGAAGTGGATTTTGCAGAGTAGGTGACCTTTAACAAAGATTTAATAAATATAGTCAAACCGGAACTGGAAAGAAATTAATTTATTTCAAATACAGAAAGAGGTTATCAACATTTTTTTATTTTACAGTTCTGAACAAAGGGAAAAGGGATGTTTGTATCTTGCAGAAGCCATCGGTCACTCCTTCTCATTAAATACAGTCTCACGGCCGAACTTCAGTCTGACTCTAAACTACGGAGCGGCCGCAGGAGGAGGAGGAGGAGGAGGAACCGCCGCCTGCTCGTGCTTCTGCTTCTTCTTCAACAGCTTCTGCTTCTTCTTCTCCTCCTTCTCTAGATCTGCAACCATCTCCAGGAACTTGTGGTTTCGGGGGTCCAGAGTTTGACCCAGACTCTCCCGGGCCTCGTCCAGAAGCTTAGAGCGGCGAGTTTTCTCCTCATTCATCTTTGCCTTCGTCTGACGTTTCTCTTCGCGCCAGTCAGCGATCATCTTGGGCATCTTGGCCATGTTGGCTGCGATGAGTTTCTCCCTGAGACGGAGAGAGAAGACGTGACGTTAATGTGGTGCGTGTTTAAAATAAAAAGGCAACATTAATTCAAAATGAAATATTACAGTTTTAGATGTTAATTTGGTATCTCTCAATCCACTTATTAAGATGCTAGAAAAACTGTTGGCTACTTTTTACTCGTGTGTCTTTTAAGCAAAAATCTAGATTGTAAAGGTAACAAAAAAATGTAGTTTTGATTTTAGTCTCAGAATTCTGAGATGTTTTCATATTTTTAAATAAAAGAAAAGAAAAATCAGGGAAAAATGTATTTTTGTTTCAGAATTCTGAGATTTTTAACAACAAAAATAAATCCAAAAAAACATTATTTTTTCAGAAAATAATTCTGAATTTGAGATTTACATTTATTTA